AAAATCCAAGATTTGACTCTTCATTTAAACGTCATTTAGTGGGAAGTAGCATCTCATAGACATACCAGTGCGCAGATCATCAATATTTGAGACTTTGTAATTACATTTTTCTCGTTCACGCCTGTCTTGACATCTCTGTTTTTTGGCTTACCTGCTTACCAGGCAACAGCATCGAAAATGGTCAAAGTTGAGGAGGCCAAGCCTTTCATTCCTGTGAGTCCTTGAGACCATACAAATCCATTTCTGTTCTCGTTCCACTTTCAAGTAGTTCTCCACACTGCATTCCATATCTCCATAGACGCTGAGCGGGAGTTCTGGTTCAGCGCGGGCCGTGTCTCTTAGGCCATCAGTCACTGCCTGACCCCCTCGGGGATGCTCATTTCATTCTCTCGCCCTCCTTTAACACGCTTTTGTTTTTGCAGATTTTCATTTCCTGTACCTCTCACCCACCCTTTCAGCCTCATGTTTATTTTACTTTTTTCGGTTGCTGATTTCTTGGTTCCAGGATTTTCCATCTTTTCAGTCTCTTGTTGGATGTTTTACTTTGATTTGAACCTCATTGCACAGATTTTCAGTCTGTCTGCACACCCTTTATTTATGATGTATTGGTTTTGGGTGTCCGTTTGGAGGACATTTGTTGTCTTGATCTGCATTCACACTGCTTTACTGCTTCGAAATAGAGCTTTTCTATTGGTCTAAGGCTTAAATAAAGCACCGCAGTGGTGTGTGGGGCACTAATTCAAGACCCCTCGGCAGGAGTAGGCCGGGAATAACTGCATGTTTTAGACTCATTCTCTGCGCAGCTATCGCCAGCCCTTACTGACTCTTCTCGCTTCCCCCCCCTTTCCCGTTTCCCAGAACACAATCAGCCTGGGACGTCCACAAAGGTTAAGCTGCCCAATTTCACAGAGGACTTCATCTGGCAAGGACTGGCAGATTTGTACAGCGTGAATGAGAGTCTGTACGAACACAGGCACAACTACAGTCCCGTTCTGGATGACTGGATGAACTTTTGGAAGGATGTAGATAGTATGTTTGCACTGCTGAGAAATTTAAAGACACTCAACCAAACCGATAAGCTTGACCCCCTGGCTGAGCTGGGCTCCGGGGTCCCGGAGGAGGCCAGCGGTGCTGGTTCCCCCATCCAAGAGGAACGGCCCCCGAGCCCCGTCACCACAGGACCCCCGAGAGGCCTGAGCCCCGACACCCTTCAAGAGAGTCTCTTAAAGTCTCTTAACGAACTCCCAGAGGGCCGCCCGACCAAACCGAGCGCTCTTCCGAGAGGAGACACCTGGGTTCATCAGCTGGAAAACGAGTTGGACAATGATGGAATGACGTTTAGTGGCAACGGAGTCACCGAACTGGAGACCCGCCATGACTTTCTGTTGCGCAGCTCCAAAATTGTGGATCTCCACCTGCAGGAAGAAGAGGAGGACATTTTTCAGGCCCAGGGTTACCTTCCCCTCTCACCGCAGCCAGCCAGACCTCCAGAGCCTGCTCTGGAAACTCTTCCAGCATGGAGTGAAACCTCACAGGAGAGGTGGAACGGAAGCTCCAAACCTTTTACCCACAAGCCCAGGGACGTTCAGGAGGGCAGTGCTGCGGGCCCATCCCATTGAGAAAGGACTGCTGCCATGCACTGTGAAGCCAGCCAAGTCAGAGACACTAACCCCACGGAGCATGGACTGATCTCCTGTATAATCCAATGAATTATTTTATTTTTTACAGGTGCTTCCTTTTATTAGAATTCAGTGTTATGTATTTTGTAAAAAATATATATATATATATATATATATATATATAAATATAAAAAAATTAGAGGTAACGTATTGGATGCATCTTAAATGTTGGGTTTGGTTTTTAAATCTCAAGCGGGAAAATGTCATCAAACTGAGGTTTTAATATATTTTTAATCAAAAAAGAAAGAAAGAGGTTAAAATGGTGAAACCATTGCATTCAGTTTTGAATTAACCACATGCAGATTGTTTCCTCAAGATATTTGATGCACTTTTGTTTCATGTTTCTCGACTTCAACGCATTCTTCAGTCTCTTTTTGACATAAACAACTCCATGTTGACACCAACACAAGTCATTATTTGTTGGATTCACGTTGGATAATGAGTGTTGTTCTCCTCTTCTATGTTTACTTCGGCTTATTGGGTTTACTTTACACTATAAAACACTGCTTGAACATGTTTTATACACTTGGATTGTGGGTTTAATGGTATGACTTCTTGGCGAAAAATGTTTTTCTCACAAATTTTGTATAGTTCGGTCCATATAATGTAAGAAGGGCATTCACTGTATAGTGCTTTTGTCATGGATGACTCTAACGTTTTCACTAACCCACAGTAATTCTAAAGTACTTCTAAAGTAGCTTGTTTCATTTGTGAAGAATGTGAGATGGGCCTTTATTCAGAATGTAATGACCATTTTTGTCCTGTCTTTTAAAGTAATGTCTAAACTCATTTTTGAAGAAATTGTTTGAATACGAGTTGACCTTCCAAATTTGCAAACGTTACTTTTTAACCAATGGTGTTGGAACAATTCTGGCTTCTGGAAAGCCAAGAGGCTGTTTTGAAATAAAAATCTTCCAAACATTTGTTTCACCTACCTTGTGCTTTTAAGCCTTAAATGCATGATTTTTTTCACCAATCATTATTAGGGCCCAAGCCCTGAAAGGGCGAAGGCCCTATTGTTTTATACTCTGACAATATACATTTTAAACAATTGCAGTGGTAATCATTTATTAATTTTATGAATTTGCCAAGTTATATACATTCCTGGGCGAACATATTTTGGTAATCCTGGAACAACATTACTTTTTGAAAATGTAGTCTTACCCCAAAACCCAACCCTACCCATAGGTTTCATACAATCAGAGGGAAATTATATAACAGTGAAAACACTGATGTAGAAGCACCTCACCCTGATTCAAAGCCTAAGATATAAACTGTAGGCCTACGATATAAACTTTTTGACTGGAATGTTGTTCCAGTACAGAGATGATTACCCAGGAACGTGTTGCTGGTGAAAAATTTGCACAGTTTGAACAGTAGGCCCAATTTTAGGTGTTTTCAAATATTACACATTAGGCCTTCCTGCAATTAGCTTTTTTTACACGCTAATTTTTACGAGCTATGTTGTTCGTTCGTTTATTATTTGGAGTGTTGTTGAAGCGTTTTCTATAGAAGTCTAGTAATAGTAATCCACCATTAGAGGGCACTATAGTTTGTCTAAACCTGGAAATGGTCTTGATTTGGGTTTCATTGCTCAGTTTTACTCAGGTTTTACAAAGTAGCCTATCGTTTTGCTGTTTTGGAACAATGCAATGAAAAGTATCGGCTGCAAAAAACAAACAAAAAACAAAAAAACAACATTTTAATAACATCACGATGTTGAATAATCAATTATTGTCATATTTAATCATATGTAGGCCTACGGCGATCTGAGAAATGTAGATGTAGTAGACGAGTCTGGCCACAAGGAGGTGCTACTGTAATTATTCCAAAAAATGAAAGGGAGAGCGGGCACAACCTAACGCTTTTTGAACTTTCTCAGTTGGTGTCACTTAAAGAGTTTTTTCCCCCACATTATTTTCCCACATGTCTAGAACAATTATGTGGTTTTGTTTTATTTATACAGTGTATACGTTTTTCTTGATATAAGCCTACCCTGAAAGAATGGAAGTGATGTGACAACGTGCCCCACATTGTAACATGTGACCTTATGATCTGATCTAATAAAAACAATATACAAGACAAGCTAAAATATTTTCTCAAAATACAATTATTAAGTTTTTTTATTAACTTGCGCTGCTTACGGTGGACAAACATTGGCACATGCACATGCACAAGTAGGGTGGTGATGAACAATAATAATAAAAAAAAGAGTGGCATTGTCCATAGACATGGGTCAAAGGTCAGCTGGACACCTGGGTGAGAGAGACCCCTGAGGAAGCCATAAAGTTTAGGTTTGCCTCTATACATTTTTCTTTGTTTTTTAACTTCTAAAATATGTTTTAGAAGTTATTTATTAACTTATATATTTGCAAACAAAAGACTCCACTAATGAACCAAGTAAGGGAACAGGTTTTGCTGAAAATGTTTTTTTTTTTTTTTTCTAAAAATGTACATTTATTCACTTCATATTTTAATTTGATTCATCCAACAACTGTGTAAAGTCTAAAATATGTAGGCTAATCACCTGCTAGTAAGTGGGTGGGGGGGGGGGGGGGGGATTCTTTAATGTTTTCCAGGGTTAGGGTTATAATGAACAATCCAGTTCCTAAATTCCTTAAAATCTCTGCCCTTTTTAATATTAAACATGACCATGTTTTTAGGTAAATCAAAATACAAAACTTTCAGGACTATGAGATCCATGAGCATCAAATATGGGGCAGCAAATAGGAAAGGGGTCCGCAGAGTTAAAGATGACCATGACATTGCCTGATTTATTCAGAATTATATAGGCTATAAAAAAAAAATCCTGACGGAGTTGAGCAAAAATGAGCACCGTGAGAACTTTTATAGAGCTTTTTTATGGAAAATATTTCGTCAAGACTTACTTTTTGAATTGTTTGATATTATATTTTACCGATCTCTTCCTTTCAATTTAAATGCACATTTTTGAATTTGTTGCACTTTTAAACACTTTCTTTGGCAGTTTTACATTGTGACCACATACTTAGAACAGGTTAAATAACTTTGTGTATTATTTAAAAATACAAAAGCAATAAATGTCCCTAGGTTGCAGATTAGATGCAACCTTTTAAGTATTTGTTATTGATGAATTTCTGTATTTTTAGTAATTATAAAGCTTTTGTATGACATTTTTGTCCCTTATCTCAAGAAGCAGTGATATGTATAGTCTATGTATGAACTCATGTGAAAAATATTCGTTGATAATTTTTTTTAGAAACAATGGTACTTGGGAAATACATTTCCCAGAATGCACTTGGCGAGCTCCGTGGTCACCCCCTCCTGCATCAAATCCGCAATCTCAAATCTCACACTCACTTCGTGTCGAGGACAACAACTCACTACCTCTCTGTCTCTATCGCTCGTGTAAGTAACGTTACACTACTCTTCATTCAATTCACTCTTCATGCTGTTCATTAATCTTATGTCTCGCTATTTTAAGTAGCTAGAGCTTAGAGGCGGGCTGAAAGAGATGTGTTATATGAATGAATTCAATGAAAGGATCAGTGTTTGGACTTCTATATTTCTATAAATTAAATTAATTCGTAACTTCATAAACTTTTGGTCGGTAATTAGTTATATTAGATAAACAAATAATTCTGGCAGGTTGACATGTTTTTAAGATGTTCTTGTAATGTTATCAGTGGTCAGTCGCACGTTTACTGTTATTCTTTGTCTTCCTCGACCACTAATCTACCAGACAGCAGCTCGACTTCACAAAACAAATGACAGGCTATTTAACGCTGTTAATGTTGCTTCTTGAACAGTTAGTAAGCAAATACTAATACTAGTTTTTCCCCCTTGTTTTCAGGATTCAATCTTTTCTGAATCATTCAACTACAAACAATAATTTCAGCACTATGACCAGAAATCAATTCCTCCTATTTATATTAACATGACATGAATTGAACTTCGTGCTGCTACACTTTTAGGTGAGGCAGCATGTGAAATGACCACTTTCCAATTTATTATGATGAGGAATAAGTAGAAAAACAGTTGGGATCATGCATGGAAGTATAGTCTTCTTTGACCTCTTTATTTGTGTGTCTCTGTAGTCTAACTTGAATTTATTATTAAATTATAGTTCTAATTGCATTGACTCGAAGCAGCCAAAATGACTTCATCTTATAACGACGAGACCAGAAGTGATATTTCAGAGTCTCTGGAAGTTTGTGAATTCGAGGGACAGTACGGAGATCCGGGTGGTTCTTACAAATCCAAAAGCTTGCCTGTTCTTAATGGCAAGTGTCCGACCATCAATGAGACGTTGGAACCGAGGCTGGTTAGCACGACACAGACTTTAGTAAACACGGACCAGTGCTTGGTGTTCAACGAGCTGCGACAGAAAGGAGACTCAAGCGAACTGGATTCACCCACCAGGACTGATTTCTCCCCTTCCATGTCCAGTATGGTGGGTCTTAGTAGCTCTATGAAAACTGACGCCAACCGAGCTGGTGGCAAAAAAATAGGCTTTTCATTGGCAAGATTCATCCGCTTTCCTGTGAGGAAGTACGTGAGGATGATTCTGTCAGACTCTAGGTGTTTTCTGTTCTGTATGTGTTACCTGACGTTCATCCAGTCATTGATGGTCTCTGGCTATCTTAGTAGTGTCATCACCACTATAGAGAAGAGATACAGCCTTAGAAGCTCTGAATCAGGACTGCTGGTTAGCTGCTTTGACATTGGAAGTCTGCTGGTAGTGGTCTTCATTAGTTATTTCGGGGGTCGAGGCCAGAGGCCACGCTGGTTGGCGGTAGGTGGGGTGTTTATCGCTGTGGGGGCAGCTCTCTTTTCCCTTCCACATTTTATCTCTCCACCCTATCAAGTCCAAGAGGTCAACTCTTCCACGGGGAACGAGGGCCTGTGCCTGAACGGGAACGGGAGCAGAAGGGACGGCCTGGACGTGTCATCATGTCCACGAGACCAAGAGGGCAACGATCACTCCATGTATGTTGCCCTTTTCGTCTGTGCCCAGGTCCTGGTGGGCATGGGATCCACTCCCATCTACACGCTGGGACCAACGTACCTGGATGATAACGTGAAAAAGGAGAACGCATCCCTCTACCTTGGTAAGAAACTTCTTTATAGTGACCTTTAATTTATAATATATTTTAACATTGCCATCAATCCTTTTCTATGTGTTATTATTATTATTTTTTAAATGCATTTCTTTAAACAAAAATAAATAAATATGATATACATACTGTAAACATATATAAAATGTACAGTATATTAAATATACACTATTGTTTTAATTGATCTGATTAATTTGAAAAAAAAAATATATATATATATATATATATATATATGAAGAGATCAGATGCAAAAGCCTCTAAATGCCATTTGAAATTTTCTTCTAGAATGATCATTTTTATCAAGCTTGTATATTTAAGTTCAGTGATTTCACTTAAATGGCAATGATAATTACCTATTAATTGTTATTTAAGTGAAATTACTGAACTTAAACATACAAGTTTGATAAAAATCATCATTAAAGAAGAAAATTTCAAATGGCATTTAGAGGCTTTTGCATCTTTTGCATCTCAAATTAATCAGATCAATTAAAACAATTGTGCTTGAGAGAATATGATTGGATCATCATTGCAGTGATTATTATGTTTCTAGCATGTTATAACAGTTATTCTAAACCTAATTGTTGGAGTGTGTATAGCTTTTCATTTCTTAAACAACCAAGTAGGAAGACACATCACCACCAAATAAATGTTGTGAACTTGTGTGATGTGATTATTTCCATCAAGAAGTGCATAAAAATTTTCAATGAATTTAAGGTCTGGACTCAGAGGTGCTAATTTGTGTATAAAAATGATTCTTTATGCTCCCTTCCAACCATTCTTTCATTTGAGCTTGATGAATCTTGACATTGTCATCCTGGAATATGGCCATGATGTATCTTCCTATATGGTTGTTTAAGAAATAAAAAAATTACATACTCCATCAATTAAATTTAGAAGAACTGGTTCCTAACATGATAGAAACATAATAATCACCGCAGTAATTATCCAATCATCGACTCTTTGCATGTGTTTATTTAAATCCAAACAATGACATTTTTGTTTTGTTCTGGCAGTATACGTGCTTTGTTTGGTGATTTAATTGCAAGTCAATGGTGGTTTTTTTTTTTTTACCTGATCACATGACCCTTGTTCTTTCCTCTGTTACATGTACCTTTATCCTTAATCTTTTCCAAATCCCATTCCTCCCACCCTGTGATTTGAGCATGCTGATGAATTTTTATGAAGCCCCTTTGCTGTTTAAGCTCCTTTGTGTTTAAGGAGACTTTTGTGGAAGAAATGCTTGGAAACAAATGGGACATCCATGTTAAGTAATATTCTTGTTTTGATTATATTCAGCATCATAACCAAGTCATAACCATCAAAATATGAAGTATGCAGAGAGTGACAGGTTTTGACATAACAAAGCTGCTTTAGTTGTATGATTGATTGGGACGCACCAGTGATTTTGAATGTTATAGGAAGACCCATTTATCTACAGTTTGGTGAGTAAGTGGGCCAGTGACGGCCCTCTGTCTGTGGAACCTCCCGTGTCTGACTCTTGTTTTCCCAGCGTCTTTCAAAGAAGCACAGGGCTGATCTAGGAACAGGGTAGGGGCTTTGTGATGGGTGATAATGCTTCAGTGAACATGCACACACAGTCTTTTAAATAAAGAGCACCCCATTATAAAGTACACATGCTGCAGCCTTAAAGTCAATGTATTGATCACCGCTTGCATCACCTGAAGCTATTCCAGTGAGCGTGATGTGAGCTAGAGAGACAAAACAACTGGCTTTTCTTTGTATTTGCAGTTGCACACTGCATTATGACAGCCTGGGGTTTTCATTCTCCCGTGAAGCTTTGCTTCTTTTACTATGTTGATGTCTTGGTCTTCCTGATCTTGTATAAAGCACTAAATAGGTTGATTAAGATGATAAAAAGGCAGTTTGCAATAGTGTAATTTTTGTTTTTAAATGTTTTTTTTTCATTCCTGATTTATTGTATGATTGCTTTACCATGTGCTTTTCTTCCTATATGACATTTTAGATAAAGTAAAATGACTGAATTATAGGAAAAAGTACTTTTATTAGACTCTCACTTCAGAGGCTGCAAATAACTGACAGCTAAAAATAATGAATCATAAACGAGGTACCATTATTGTGTCAATTTTGCCTACTTTCTTTCTGGCATGTCACTTTTCCAATTATTTCAAACCCCATCAGAATTTGTGAAAAGCACTTGGGGAAAAAAGACAAATTGAAATCTCCTGTACGTTGAGAGAAATTGGATTGGAATGTTTGCTTCGTCCTCAGCTCTTGTTTGAGCTGCACACACACTTGGATAGTGTAGCTTAGAGCCGTTATACTTCCCTCTCACATGGTTCAGGTAGGGTTTATCATTGCAAAACATGTTTATTCTCTTTTCTCTGCACACTGTCATCTGCCTTGAGTGCCTTCTTTTACCTATGGTGTCTGAGTTAGTTGCGCTCAACGGAGAAGGATTCCCAATGAAAACATTTACATACCACAAAATCCCTCAGGCAAATTCATTTTAATGAGCTGAAGTTAACCAAATCCACCGCCTCCTTTTTCTGACACACTTTCACAGACTAAAGCCGGCCCCTGTTCAGTCGGTACAGTGACACTTACATGATGAATGACTTGAGAATAGCATTACACACTAACCTCTTTTCTGAAACACGTTGTTTGTCCAAACATCTTTTTTTTTTTTCTTTTACATTTATGCCTTTTGCTCATGCTTTTATGCAAGAAGAACATAAGCAATTAGTCTAAGAGCCAAAAATATTTACATAGTTTACAGTTACAATAAATAGTATACATAGTAAAATATATTTATTTACTCGCACACAGAAGATGAATTTTTAAGAATATCCTGACTACACTTTTTTTTATATAATTAAAATGAAGGAATGACTGGGGCTGTAATAATCAAAAAAAAAAAAAATTCTCCAATAATAAAAAAAAAAAAAACTGCAAATCTACGGACGCCTATTGCATTCACTTGAAGAAAAAAAAATCTACTGTTTTTCTGAATTAACGTGTTAATTTTTCATGAGAAAAAAAATTTTGCTCTGTTTTTCTGAATTAATGAGCTATTTTTTATGAGAAAAAAGTATTTGCTCGGTTTTTCTGAATTAACGAGTTAATGTTTCATGAGAAAAGTTTTTTCTCTGTTTTTCTGAATTAACGATTTCATTTTTCATGGAATTTTGTGAGTTAACTCAGAAAAACAGCAAAAATAAATTTTCTCATGAAAAATTAACTCATTAATTCAGAAAAACAGAGCAAAAAAAATTGTTCTCATGAAAAATTAACTCATTAATTCAGAAAAACAGAGCAAAAACTTTTTTTTCTCATGAAAAATTAACTCATTAATTCAGAAAAACAGAGCAATTTTTTTTTCTCACGAAAAATTAACTTGTTAATTCAGAAAAACAGAGTAGATTGTTTTGAATGCATACACCTCCGTACAAATCAGTTTATACCTCTTCCAGCATTTTATTAATCTAGGCCAGAATATTCATCTAAAATATCAAATTTTGCTCTTTACAGAAAAAGATGTATACAGATTTGGAATGAAGGGAAGTAAATTATGACAATTAAAATTTTATGGCTGAACTAAGCCTTTAATGGTCTTGTTCTTCATTTAAACAATGGATACAACTTTGACCCTCAATTGGTAGCATGCAATTTCCTCTTAGGTGGCAATTCATTAAACGTACAGTATGCGATTTTTGGCCACCAGGGGTCACTCGTTTAAAATAATAACAAAAGACGTACTTTGATGATGTCGGGAAAGAGCGTGGGCTCACGGGAGTTGTTGTCGCTGTCAATGACAACCAGCTCAGCTCATGACATGACATTATCGTTTCACAAAATATACGGCATCTCTCTGTAGATTTGGCTTGTCAAGAAGCTTTAAATGCAACGCCAATGTTTACCTGTGTCATGCTTCTCCTGTCCCAAACCCTTCTCGCGTCATATTTTTCAGGTACGTTTGAGCTTTAGCTAATGAGCTGGCTGTAGCAGCAGAACGTGCAGGCAAAGCGTAATCGTGGTCCATAACTAATATACAGACGAATATAAATATCAATATTATGCTACTTCAATGAATGACCTATTTTAGAACATTTTTCATATATAGAGCCCACCGGATTATAAAGCACATAAGATACTGCAGTCAAACTTGACTGGGTTTGCGTTATTCATCCACTATGTGCTAAAGGCTAAAGGGAATGTAGTGAGTGCTCGTCGCCGGAGGTGAGCCGTTTATTTATTAAGCATGAGAGAGCTGAAGCGGGCACATACATTCGCAGCCTGACGAGTATTCAATGTGCGCGGCTCGCTAACAGCAACAGTTGGCTGTTTTGAATGAGACGACACGGTTACTGTGAACGGGGAGCGCTTTATGCGTGAGCAGCACCGGGGACAGTGTGTCTGTTAAGAGTGAGCGCTCGTGAGCGGGCACGTGATTTACACGCATAAAAATACGTACTACTTTTTTTATTTCGTCATTTTCTTTGCTTTATTGGCGGTAGTCCAGTGTTCCCCTTTGTGTTTGGCGGTTTCGCCGGGTTCCGCAAGGAAGTTAGAGAAAATAGAGGAGTCAAAGGTTATATGACGCCATAGACGGGCGACGAAACGGAAATAAAGAAACGTCCCGTGTCTTCGAATTAAACTATAAATTTCTCCGTATTTGAAATTTGGTGGAAACTGTCGGGATAATGTAAGTACATATCTAACAGAAATATATAACATAGATACAGTTATTTTTGCTATTTTTAATGCAGAAAAATTACATATTGTGGCTTTAATGAGTTGCCCAGGTGTTTCTTTGTCTGATTTACAGCTTATCGTTGCTTATAGACTGCAGTCAGCCGAGGGGGGCCGTTTTGATTGGATTGGTTCTGTGTGTTTGAGTGTGTGTTGCCAAATACAGAATGAAGTAATATTACTTCAGTAGGCAGCTCTGCAACTTTAAGCTCTGACACTATAATAACTAAGGCATTATTTCTGTTTTGGCTGTTGCGCTTTTT